CTTCCGATCTAAAATCTCAACCGGCTTCTCTTCATAGCTCATATTCTCTTGGATCTAAACTACTTGCGGCTTGATGACATGTGAAGGATTTGGTACATATTTCTTCAACATTGACACATGGAACACGTTGTAGGTAGATGCCGTTTCCTGAGGCAACTCTAGCTTGTAAGCTACTTTGCCTATGCGCTCAATCACCTCGTAGGGTCCGACGTACCTCGGACTAAGCTTGCCTCTTTTGCCAATCCGCATCACACCCTTCATTGGTGCGACCTTGATGAACACCGAATCCCCAACTTCAAACTCTAAGGGTCTTCGACGAACATCTGCATAACTCTTTTGTCTACTCTGAGCTGTGGCAATCTGTTGCTGAATCACCTTCACCTCCTCCGATGTCTTATTCACAAAGTCATTTTTCTCCTTGATATCAATATTCTTTTTAAGTTCCGACTCCATCAACTTCTTCTCCCCAGCCTCATGCCAACAGATTGGGGATCTGCAACGTCTCCCATATAGTGCCTCATAAGGAACCATCCCAATCGTCGCTTGATAACTGTTGTTATAAGCGAATTCGGCTAACAGTAGAAACTTACACCAACTCCCTTTAAAATCCAAAGCACAAGCTCGAAGCATATCTTCAAGTGTTTGGTTGGTCCTCTCCATCTGACCGTCTGTCTGTGGGTGAAAAAATGTGCTAAATTTGAGCTTCGTCCCCATAGCTGTCTGAACACTCCTCCAAAAATGTGAGATGAACCTACTATCTCAGTCTGAAATAATATATTTGGGAACACCATGAAACTTCATAATTTCTTTCACATACAGCTCTGCCAATTGTTCTATAGAAAATGTCATCCGTATAGGAATAAAATGAGCTGACTTGGTCAATCTGTCAATAACAACCCAAATAGCATCAAATCCGTTTGAAGTCCTCGGCAATCCAATAATGAAGTCCTCGGCAATCCAATAATGAAGTCCATTGCAATGTCTTCCCATTTCCATTATGGAATTTGAATCGATTGAAGTAACCCTCCTGGCCTCTGATGCTCACCTTTGACTTGCTGGCATGTTAAACATTACTTCACATAGTCTGCTACGTCTCTCTTCATTCCAAACCACCAAAAACTTCCTTTAAGATCCATATACATCTTGGTTGAACCAGGATGAAGCGTATATGGAGTTTTATGTGCCTCCTCAAAAATCTTCCTCCTCAGTTCATCATCCTTAGGGACGCATAACCGTTCTTTAAACTTCAACACTCCATTATCTACTATGCTAAAACCCTCACACTTCCCTTCAAGTACGTCATTCTTGATCCTCACTAGACTTGGATCAAGGCACTGCATGCTCCGGATATCATCAAAAATAGTCGGAGTCAAGGTCATTACGGACAACTGCCCCACGACAATTTCTAACTCAAATTCCCGAATCTCCTTCAGAAGAGGCTTAGATATTTCTTGCAACGATATCAATGCAGCATGAGTCTTCCTACTTAAGGCATCAGCTACCCTATTCGCCTTCCTTGGATGGTAGAGAATTTTACAATCGTAATCTTTTACCAGCTCTAGCCATCTCCTCTGCCTCATATTCAGATCCTTCTGAGTGAAGAAGTACCTCAGACTTTGATGATCGGTGAATATTTGGCATCGAACACCATACAAG